TAAACCCTAGAAGCTAGCCTATGGTATGATTGTTGATGTGTATGTTGTCCTACAGACTAAAACCCTCCGGTTTATATAGACACCGGATAGGGTTAGGGTTACATAGAGTCGGTTACAATGGTAGGAGATCTTCATATCCGCATCGCCAAGCTTGCCTTCCACGCCAAGGAAATTCCCTTCCGGACACGGGACGGAGTCTTCAATCTTGTATCTTCATAGTCCAGGAGTCCGGCCTGAAGGTATAGTTCGGCTATCCGAACACCCCCTAATCCAGGACTCCCTCAGAGGCCATAGCCCAGTTCGGCTTCTCCGACGAGGCCGCCCTAAAGTGGGCGCGGGACGACTACCTCCGCAACGAGATGGTCCGGCAGCGCCGAGCCCTGCAGGAGATAGCCGCCCGCCAGCATGGGCGCGAGGACGAGGACGGCGTGGTGATCCTCGACAGTGACGAGGACGAGGACGCCCCCGGACCGTCTAACCCGCCGCGCCTCGGCAACCCTGGGCAGGGGAGCAGCAGGGACGGCGGCCGCGGAGGAGGCAACGACGGCGGCGGCGGCGGCGACTACACGCAGTTTTACAGGCTCCTCGGCATGTAGAGCTTCAGGGCGGCGGGCGGCGGGGAACGGCGAGGGCGACAGCGGGTCTAATAGTGTCTTTTTTCTTTGTTTGTAAAATATTTGGTAAACTCGCCCAAGTTTGATTAAATTTGCGTCTTGTTTGTGTGAATGTAAGACCGGAATTTGTTTTTCAAAAAAAAAAGTGACGTGGGAACGGCGACTAGGGAGTATCATACCCCCAACATATAGTTTAGCGTCAGTTGGTCTTGAGACGGCGATTTTATGCGCCCCTAGCAAGCCAACGGGTGGAGATACTCTAACATCGATCGTGTCGATCCAATCATTCTCAAACTGACCGTGTATCCCAAACGCAAAAGACAATGCAAAAGAAAACAAAAAATAGACTAGTTGCACTATCCAAATCCAAGAACGCATCATCACATTCATCACATGAGCAAAGCTCTATCCAAGTCCTCCTCGCTCGCGCTCGGGCCTCGATGGTGTCGAAACCTCTATGCATCAGCCCCGCACGGAGCTAAGCGAATAAACTAAACCTCAATAGAGAGCAGATCGATGCTAACCAAGTAACTAACCATCGTCCGGATTACCAAACTAGCCTTGCTTTACTTTTGCATCCGGATGTCACGTGGATGCGGAATCCGAACCATTTTTATATTTTTCTATGCAACAACCTGACACCTACTACAGTACAATTTAAGTAGGAAAGTACTCAGCCCCAAACCCGGGAAATACCCTTAGCTCTTGAGTGTATTTAAATATGAGAACAAATTATAGTAGTAACTAGAAAAAATAAAAAAAAATCTTTTTCAAAATAAACGTGACCTTCTGTTATACTCACATATAAAAAAAATCATGAAGAAAAAACTACTATCAACTTCAAGGGAAAAAACCCAAAATTTTAAGGAAAAAAATGTGAATAGTAACTTGTATGAGTGTTTATTTTTCCACAAAGAATACTATGAAAGTCACTCCTTGGCCAATTGTTTTTACATGAATACAGTAGAAGATCAAGTTTATTTGTTTTTTTACCCGCCAAAAAAGTTTACTTGTTTTTTGGATTTTTTATAATTACTATTTTTTTCATATAGGGCGTATATTCACCAACTTATTCAAATGCGCTAGTGCGACACAACCAACTGATTTTTGAAAATAAATCAGCCGGTTGTGTGAGCTGTGTGTGTCATGACGCGTGTCCTGAGCCCATACGACCTTTCTTCTTTCTTGCCTTTTCCTCATCCTCCTTCACATGAATTTTTTGAACCCCCACGTTTTTCTTTTTCTCCCCACCAAACAATCGTCATGTCTGATGTCTCCATCGCTATCAAATTAGACACTTGTGCGTTGCTGAAGAGGAGAAGACTGCACACACCGCCACCCGCTGTTGCGACAACCGTTGTGTTGCAAAGCAACCACGAAGACTACCCAGTTGCAAGGCTACCTTGCTGCCGCACATTGTCGCTACACCAACCACCTTGTTGCAAGGCAATCGTGGAAGACCACCTAGTTGCAAGGCTACCCTACTCCCATTGCAACATCCACCATGTTGTTGGGCGACCATACGAGACCACCGTGTCGCAATACCCGTCATCGTGGCCAACTTGCAACATCCATCATGTTAAAAGCAAACACATTGCCAAACACCATCTGTTTTGAGCCATTCATTCAAATTTGAATTGGAATGGTTATATTTAGATGACTTTGCAACTATTATTAATAATGTGCATGAGAGAGAATGACCAAAAATAATGGTGTTCAATCTTTCTGTCAAGCAACCAGTGTGGCCACAAAATGCCTCGACCGCGATACTAATCAGTATCGTCCTGAAACCTGAATCTCAAAGATTCATTCTTCATGGATTCAAGCCTTCGCAAAGCACTCCCGTTACAAGGATCCATAAACATGCTCGATTTGTATGTTGATATATCTAAATTGACTAGGCATAAAATAGATATATTTATTATGTTTTTTTATTGAGGTGAATAGCATCCCATTTTTACTTCAGTAATTAACAAAAATTAAAGATGTCTATTATATTGTTTATTAAGTCTCCCTCCTGGAATGATCTATCCCTACCGGTTATTCTTCTCATCTCAAATAAATAAATATATAAACACAATTTTATCTGTGGCCATCTATTGTGGTGGCTGAATTGATATATCCGAGGATTACCTTCAAGAGGATTAAAGAAATATGAATACGAGCCTGTCCTGAATTCAGCAATATATGCCTTTAAATGTAATCGTGGTCTCGTCATGGATATAATTGGGAAATGCAGGGCCGGTCCATACATATTCGGGGCCCTGGGGCGAGACGACAAAATGGGGCCCTTGTGGACAAATAAAAATTTAGAATATATTGTATTTCGAAAGCAATTTAGTAGATAACATAGATTGATGGTCTTTGAACTAAAAAGCACATGCCACAAATTATTTATTTGTAACGGTCCATAGAACTACTATATCATAATAGTATGGAAACAATATAATTCTACAAAAGATTGCTCTTGTAAGTGGCACAAAGAGACCATCATCTTGCTCTTCTAAGTGTGAAAACCTTGTCAAAACTGATAGCAACTTGAAGCGTTTGTGTTATCATGAGATATAATGTTAATGCATGAGAACTTACATCAGTTTCTATTCTCTTCAATCTGTTCGTCAATCGATGTTTTCACCCAAAGAAAATGTCTCCAAAGCTTCCTGAATATGATGATCAGATCTTGTTGTTTCTCCTAATACTTCTGGAAGAAAAGTCATCAATAACCACTTCAATATTTATTTCATCCAACTTTTCTTTCTCAATGCATAATGTAGCAAGACCATTCAACCTTTCCTGTGATATTGATGATTTCAAATAGTTTCCCAATAACTTGAACTTTTGAGAAACTGTGTTAAGCTTATGCTACAATGACTGACTAGTGCAGTAAATAAAATTCGATAAGCTATTAATATATTTGGACAAGAGTCTATGTCTCTAACAAACGAACCACCGTAACATGCAATGGCACAAACGATTCTGGTAGAACTACCTGTTCTAAAAAAATTTCAATCGAACCTTTCTGGGTTCTACCAGTTCATCTCTCTATTTTTTTCACTTCCTTTTGTCACTGATAAACATTTTCGAGAAGATATGTCACCAAAAAATTGGAGAAAAACAGTCAATACATGGAACAAAAGCACCTGAATATCAGCATATGGCTTGATGTCGAATTGTTGATGTAGCATCCCAGATCTACAAGGCTGCAACACTCATTCCCCGTCCTCCCCTTCTCATCCCTGGATCCAATGAAGCTTTGAAGAAAAGGCCAACAAAAGAGTGGGAACTAGGAAGAGAAGAATTGGAGATGTCAGATGGAGCAATCAGAGGCGGAGCACCGGGCTATTTAACAACAAATCAAAAGAATACTTGATTAAGGGAAGGAGGTAGACGTACCATCTCTGATATGATGATCCCTCAAACGTCTACTTGATGGGGAATTGTGAGGATGCAAAGAGAGATGATTGGGAAGGGAATAGCACTGTTGATCTCCACTAATGGATGCAAGGAGCAGCGCCTCGAATTTGGAAGTGCACGGGAGCGGTGGCGCTGTTGTCTAGGGTTTGGAGAAATTTGGGGGAGGAGCCGAGGAGGCGAGGAGACTAGAGCCGAGGAGGTCGATGAATGCTGCAACAGCATAGCGAACCCATCGATTATTTTGGTCCCTGAGTGCTAGCTACGTGGTGGGCTTGGGCCTTGTTTTTTCCTCTTATTTTTCTGGATCTAAAGAAGAAACATCATAATATGTGTATACTGTACTACTACCTGGGCCGGGGCCCCTACCTCCCAGGGGCCCAGGGCGGTCGCCCCGTTGCCCCGGCCTATGGGCCGGCCCTGGGGAAATGCAGCTGTGCTTACCATGAGCAGATATACCTAAATCAAGTAGAAGCGATTGTCCATTGACATGGCCACCGGGGAAACACTTGCTAACCTGTTTTTCACGCACTTCCTTTGTGTAGTCAATTTGTGATTCTAGAGATGTTGCTGGACATGTTGGAACAAATTTTATTTGAAGTAATAAGGCATAGATGGTCAAGTTTATTCTACAAAATTGCTAAAGTTAAATAAGGTTTCCAAGCAATATCGGAAGAAAGCAAGAAGAAAAGAGGACAAGTATTTTTTATTTATGACAATGCACGGGATTAAGTTAGTCACAAGAATATGTATATTTCCGTTGCAATTAGTTAGGACAATGAAAAAACAGCAATTGCCGGATCTTAAAAAAAACTCAAACTTGGGGGCGCACATAGAGAAATGATCCATGGACTCATCCGAGGGCAAAGTCGTCACATCATGAACTAACCCCAAACGGCGAGCTAATTTATGCGACTTGCGATCCTGTAAATATACGCTCTCACTCCCCCACTTCCCCCGATCCCAGCTCCACCCATGGCGCTCTCCATTTCCGCACCCACCTCGTCTCCCTTCCTCCCCGCCCCCCGCCAGGTACACTCTCTCGCTCGCGTTCTTCATCCTCCGTCCGACGAGCTCCCATTTGCTCGATTTGGCCGCTTGCACGGTCTGACCCGTTCTTGATCGCCGCTCCAGGCCGGCAGGTGGAGCTCGTCACCAAGCTCGGCTAAGCCCGCGGTTTTTAGCCTCCGGAGGCCGGTTGTGGCGGCACGGGCCGCCGCCGGCAACGCGCCCTCTTCCCCCGCAGGCGGTACAGGGTTTCTCTTGGTTTCCTTCCTGCCCCCCGGCCTGTTATGATGTGCGGTGTTCTTGAGTCTTGATCCGCGCTACCTGCTTGTGGGTTGCTTGCAGCGGTCGTAACTGAGCTCGACGTGGTCTCCAGCTTCAGCGAGATCGTGCCGGACACAGTCGTGTTCGATGATTTTGAGAAGTAAGCTCCGCTCTTTGCTCCTGTACTTCCGCTGAATGAATCTGGTTGGGGCGATGGTCAGTGATACATCATACTGCTGGTCAATTGCAGGTTTGCACCAACGGCGGCCACCGTGAGCTCTTCACTGTTGCTTGGGATCGCAGGGCTACCGGATACCCAGTTCAAGGTGAGAAATTATTACTGGCATGTTTAACCGGCAGATGGTGAACACTTAACAGAGGAAGGGTCACATGACTAGTGCTCGGGCTGCGTGTTTTTTGTAGAGTGCCATAGATACCGCATTGGTAGATGGTGAATGTAACACAATGGAGAAGCCCGGGGACCGGATGTCCTGTTACCTTACCAAGGTGCACTTTGCATTTCGGTTTCAGTATCACCTGTTCTGTTCATCTGACGAGTTGATTTGATACGAAATTTGGCAGGCCCTGGGGAATGTTGGAGCTGAGCTGGCTCATCAAGTTCCTGGAAGAGTGTCCACGGAAATAGATGCTCGATTGGCTTACGATACCCAAGGAATCGTCCAGAGGGTATGAGCTTCTTTCTTCTTTTGTTGTTCTCGTGTTGTGTAACTGAATTGTGTACCCAAAGTACCCACATTGTGATTTGCATAGATGGTTATGAACTTAAGTATTTTTACTAGCATGCCGTGAACGTGAAGTATTTACCAAGACCATCATTTATTTGAATCTACTTTCAGTTTAATTAGTCCAATATTTTGTGTGTTCTCAATGATGACAAGTTATTTTGATGTGGGCAAAACATCAATCTGTAGACCATAGTAGCTTATTTTCATCACATTGATGATGCTTAAGTATGCATGAGTAAGTAATCAGTTAGTTTAGTAATCAAAACTAAAGTATATTTGAAAATTTCCATGAAAAAAGGATTTGTTTACTTCTAATGGGCTAAACTGAATATTGAGCAAAATAACCATTAACATTAACATAAGTTTGATATATTACATACCGTACACAGAATTAGGATATCTATGTTTCCCCCCACTAGCTTGACATTAATTGATAGAACAATTTTTTTTTTGACAAAAATGCTGGATCGGCTTTTCATTCATTAGGGGGAGAGAGTACAGGGTGTGTAGTACACGGTCACAAGAGGATTTTAGTTGCATATGGCTCATGCAAGCAACGGCAACCACAGCTCCATAACTGGGTCTTTGTATGAGTTGATCGATTCTGATCCTCTTTGCGGCTGTCCAATTAGCCAGCTCATATTTTAAGCAGTAGAATGTGGTAGTTGTTGTTGATGCCTTATTTGTGAAGACGTGCTCGTTGCGTTCCTTCCAAACGTGCTACCACACAAGCTGCACCAGTAAGCTCCATGCACGCGATGGTGTGGGCACCATCTTCCCACGACTGAAGAAGTGAGCTTGTAGATTAGGCAGGAGCCAGCGTCGTCGGGAGATGGCACAGCTGCAAGGCCCGGCGCCATAGTGCAGCAGTGAAGAGGTAGGTGCCAGCAGATGCACAGCATCCTCTGAAGTATTCCAGCAGAGCGAGCAAATCGGGTCATGGTTCCATCCTCGTTTGGCCAAATCTTTACTATTAGCTCTGGAGTGAATATTTTCTCTCTCCAAATTGTTAACAGATTTGGCAATCATTTCGTTTTTCTTTTTTGATTGCTCTGAATTCTTTTCATCACTGTCATATTCAATTTGTCATGAACTTATTGAATATCTTCTGCTTCACTTCCAATATTCCCACAAATCGTACCTTAGTCGTGATGGTACTATTTAACTGCAAGTATCCGTTTGATGTCTGTAATATCTTTTCCTAATGTTAAGGCTGAGAGCATGTGTAGTTACTTATTATCAAGTTTTGGCATATACTTTTTACTCATAGCCTTGTCTGGCTGATGCTTCAGAGTAAAGCATGTGTGCTGTTGGCTGATATCATTTGAAGAAACAAAAAGAACTTAAGTTTGATGAAAACTATTTGATATTTCTATGTTCAGGTGCATGAACTGTTGCAGATATACAATGAACATGATATCCCATCAGAACGTCTGTTATTCAAAATTCCTGCTACATGGCAAGTAAGTTTGCACTGCATCAATCTCTTAAGTGTGGTCTTGTTCATACCTGCTGACCATGCATTTTTGTCGTCAACTTGTTTACAATCATCAGGGTATAGAAGCGTCAAGATTACTTGAATCTGAAGGAACTCAAACACATCTAACATTCGTTTACAGGTACGTACGTGCACTTTGCTTAATTTGGTCCCAACCATATTTCTTGTAGCGGGGAGTTGTATGAATGTTTTTCCCTCTCTTCTTTAATGTTACAATGCTTTGGTGCCTGAAACTTCTTTCTTGTCGCAATTTGGAACCACAGAACTGTCTTTAAATTACTTAGCGTGGGACTTGTAGAAAGCTGAAGAGGGCTAAATGGCCACAGTATCCCATTTTTTGCCTGTCGGCAACATAAATACCTATTGCTCTTTGGTGTTAGCACAAGGAGAGGTTGTCAGTCCAATCTGTCTTGTAACTTACAAGTGAAGTACTCATCTCACATGATGAGTAATTGTGGGATTGTCCTCGAAGGTCCTCAAAGTGCAATAAGTGTGTACATATGTGGCACCTCTAAAATGGTTCGAGGACTTACGTGACACCTCTAAAATAGTTCGAGGACCTCTAAAATGGAGCGTTTGGTTACTGGATCTGTCCGGTGGGAGATGGTAGCGCGGGATATCTTCAACCGGTTTGGATGGCGGTCATGTAATAGGATAAGCAATTAGTTTACCTATCATTGTTATGCCAGCCGGTTGTGGCTTTTGGGCCTTTTGTTTCTTGGCGTTGTGGCTCTTTGTGAGCTTGCCGTTATTTTGTTTTCAGACTTTAAGACCTTGTTGAACTTCTTTATTTCTATATAAATGTGACCGTATGCATCGTTCTGATGCAGAGGCCGGGGAGTCCCCCCTTTTCGAAAAAAACCCTGTATGCCACGCATATTGCACTTCGGGGACCTGGATGACACTTTTCATAGTTCGAGGACCTATGTGACACCTCTGAAATAGTTTGAGGACCTACAATGCACTTCACTCAAAGATTTTCATATCTTTGTGAGGGTTAGCACCCCTTTGTATGGGAGGCTCCACAAGACAACTCAACAGGCCTTACTAGTTATTGAGACGAACATGTTTACTACGAAAAGACATGCACTATTGTAGGTGCACTTACATAGACTTTCAATTTATGTAAGATGGTAAGGCAATTTTGGAAAGATATTTTTTCTCTGTAGAATTTGTAGCTTTGACCCGATAGTTAATAACTGAAGCCTTGTGTGTGTCTTCTTCTTAAGTTTTGCACAAGCAGCAGCTGCAGCGCAAGCTGGTGCATCAGTCGTACAAATATTTGTGGGGCGTATTCGGGTAAATTTACCATGTTCTGTTTTCATTACCTCGCGCTAAAATGTAGATGTTATGCTGACCAATGACGATAAACTATACAGGATTGGGCAAAGAATCACTCTGGTGACCCAGAGATTGATGAAGCTTTAAAGAAGGGAGAAGATGCTGGGCTTGCCTTGGTTAGCATCAGTTACCATTTCATTTTTGTGTTTATCAGCATAAGCTAATATCTGGAAACAGGGCTTCTTTACTCTGCAGTTCTGCAATTTTTAATGTTCCTGGCGTCGCTTTCCCCAGTACTCTTCTTTAGCTGTGTTTTGTCCTAAGAAGTGAAAATTTCAAAAGTTTTGCGGTCACTACCAGCAAGTAATAGCACTGACTATTATTTTAAAATTCCATTTGATTCGCATCATCTCTTGAAAGCCAAACTACGATCATGTGCTCAGTAGCAGCACGCCTCATTCAAGATGACATTAGCCTCCTTGTAGAGGGGTCTGGCCCATGAACAGGGCTCCCTGTACAGGGAAAATGTGCTGACCATTTCCAGTCCTTTCTGTTGTTGTTGTGTTCTCTGTCCTGGGTACTTTGCCCATTTTGTACTGTTTCCTTTTACTTGATGCAAAATTCTCATCATTTTTTTTCTCGAGAAAATGCAAAGGGCTTTTGCATTTCATTGCATTGAAAAGATGGAGTTTTGATACAATCCTCCTAGGAGGTTAGATACAAGTTAGTGCACGTCCCAGGTGGGCGGCAGAATGACGCGTAGGCCGTGGGCGCCCGCTCTTGCCCACTGCTTGGCTTCCTCTTTGATCTTCGAGACCAGGACCTGAACCAGGGGCTGGGCGCCCTCAAAGATGCATTCGTTGCGCTGTTTCCAGATCATCCATGGTGTCAACAGAGCAATGGAGGCTAGGCCCTTACGCATCAGTGTTGGCGTGTTTTGCCTTGCCTGCAGCCACCAGTCCATCAATGAATCTTCGTGGCTTGGCCCTGCAGTGGTCATCCGTAGCCAGGACAGGATTTCGTGCCAAGTCTGCCTGGCGAAGGGGCACTCCAAGAGGAGGTGGCGCATCGTCTCGGGAGCCTGGTCGCAGAGTGGGCATCTTGGCTGATGCTGGAGACCGCGTCGAGCCAAGCGGTCGGCCGTCCAGCACCGGTCTTGGCTGGCCAACCAGTGAAAAAACTTCACTCTTGGCGGCGCCCAATTCTTCCATATGAGCTTCCACGAGAAGCAAGTCATGGATCCCTGGAAGGTGGCAAGATAGCATGAGTTAGCAGAGTATATACCGGAGGCCGTCCATCTCCAAACTAGCTGATCAGGGGTGTTCGAGAGCGTGATATGCTCGATCGCCAGCCAGACTTGAAGGTACTGGCCAATCTCGTGTATGCCCAAGGTCCCATGAATGTCCCTGGCCCAGCTATGGCCTTGCAGTCCTTCAGCGACGGTCCGGATTTTGCGCCGGTGTTTGGGTATGCACTTGTAAAGTGCCGGGGCGATCTCGCAAATGGATTGCCCATTTATCCAGCGGTCTTCCCAGAAATATGCCGTTGTTCCGTTTCCGAGGGTCATCGTGGTGGACGCGAAGAAGAGTGCTCGCTCCTCGGCAGAGAATTGTAGGTCCAGGCCATTCCAGGCGCGCTCATGGTCAGTGCGCGAGAACCATAGCCATCGTAGCCGTAGAGCAAGGCCAGCGCACTCCAGGTCCTGGACACCCAGGCCTCCGTACGATATGGGGCGGCAAACGCGGCGCCAGGTGACATGGCAGTGGCCTCCATTGGCGGCAGCGCGGCTGGCCCACAAGAAGCCGCGCTCAATCTTCTCAATTTGACGAAGCGTCTTCTTAGGCGGCGCATAGGCGAGTAGTTGATGCACGGGGATGGCGCTCAGCACAGACTTCACCAGCGCAAGCCGCCCAGGCTTGTTCATCAGGTTGGCCTTCCAAGAGGGGAGCCGGCCGGCAATCCCATCAACTAGGGGCTGCAGTTGGGCAGCAGTTGGTCGGCCTACCGTGAGGGGGATCCCGAGGTAGGTGATCGGCAAGTTGACGATGGGGCAGCCTAGGTGCGCAAGTGCTGCTGTCGCCTCGTCCGTGTCACAGTGCAGCAGCGAGGCAGAGCTCTTGGCATCAATTTCTTTTAGCACATCATATGCTGGTTTGCCATGCTATATCGTAAATAGCGTTAATGACAGTTGCAAGGGAACTATGGTTGAATGGCAGTACACTTATACTGTTTTTTGGTGAGAATAGATTAATCGAACAATTAATGAAAATAATAAGGAAAGTTTGAATGAACAAGAGTAGGGTTATTCAGGAGCTCGTGTCTCCCCAATTAAGATGCTGAAGATAACACGGCGTCGAGTCGAGTTTTCCATATTTGCAGTGGATTACATAATATGCTGTGCTACTTACTTGGCTAGGAGTTGGACTTTACATATGATTCTGATCTGGATTTCAGGTGAAGAAAGCGTATGTGTACATTCACAAGAATGGGTACAAGACAAAGTTGATGGCCGCTGCCGTGCGCAACAAGCAAGACGTGTTTAGCCTTCTGGGGTAAATACTTGCCCTTTTTCCCCTTAATATAGACTGTGGACCTGAATTGGTAGGTACTGTACTAATTAATCTTTTTGAATATTTAGGATCGACTACATCATCGCGCCCCTGAAGATACTGCAGTCCTTGGATGAATCTGTGACCGATTCCGATGAAAAGTACGGTTATGTCCAGAGGCTGACTCCTTCGCTTGACAAGATGTACAACTTCAGCCAAGAGGAGGTTCGTTTGGCTTATTCATATCATGTGTGAACAAAAGTATAGTTTTGACGTGGTATTTGTGCTAAGTGGGTAGTTGTGATGAACGCAGCTTGTGAAATGGGACCAGCTGAGCCTGGCGGCGGCGATGGGGCCAGCGGCGGAGGAGCTGCTTGCTTCTGGGCTGGAAGGGTACGCGAACCAGGCGCGGCGCGTGGAGGAGCTCTTCGTCAAGATCTGGCCACCCCCCAATGTTTGAACTTCAATTTGAAGCCGTTTCTTCTTTCTTGGTATTTTCGTTCCAACAAAGGGTGTTTTGTGTGTCAACATGTTTACTTTTGTCCTTGGAATGTCTGCCGGACTTGAAATCTGAATCGTTTGTGGAAATATGAAGGCATTTTGTGGCGACAGTTTCTTTTATGCTCCGGGTGGTTCAAACATCATCGTTTCATGAAAATGTGTGAGAATCTCACATTTGAGATGGTCACAGTGATGAGTGACTCTGTCACGAGTTAGCTATGTACGTGAAGCGATGAAGGTGAAAAGGAGAAAAGATGAACCCCAAAGACAGAGAGAGGCCCAGTTAGCAAGCAAACCCCCAAGAGCAAAGGGAAGCAGCCCATGACCGAGGGCCCAGACGTAACAGCTAAATAGGCGAGACTGCGAGAGCGGCGTGGGCATGAGGGCATCGAAGAATGCGAGACACTGTCTCCGCCTACCTTCCCCTTTGAACTTGCAGTGCGAGTCTTCTCTCCCACCGTGACGCTGTGGAAATTGTATCAGACCCACTACTATTGTGTGAGTAATAAAGTACTAGTACATCCATTTTTACCGGAGCGTTAAAACTTTCTATTTATGCAGTAAAAAAACATCAATAATAATAAAAATTACATTCAGATCCATAGACCACCTAGCGACAACTACAAACACTGAAACGGGTCGATGGTATAATTTATCATGGTAGGCGGTCAGGAAGTAAGGCCCCATAGGACCAACGCACCAGCGGACTGTTCTTTTTCCCCAGCGGAGGCTAGGGTTTACAATTCACCTACAAGCACCACCAGCTAACCTGTGGATTCATCTTCCTTCTGCCTGCCACTCTGGCGGCCGATGGCGGGGAGGATAGTCCCAATGCCTCTGCTTTGGCTAGTAGTTTAGGTTAGGATTTTTTTAGTCCTCGCAAGGCGGCGTTTGGGCGGATCAAGGCGCAACTTTGTCGAGTTGGTTTCCGGGCTTCGATCCTCTTCAAGTTCATCATTTGAACGGAATCGACAAAGCTCCAACGTAGATTCCTGCCGTCTCCTCGGCACGGTGAGGTTAGAGTTCTCGTCATGCGTGTGCGGCAGCGAGTTATGGTGTTAGGCACTTCAGAACGGTTCAAGGGTTCAAGGACGAGATTGCAGGTCTAGGGCGCTCGTTCTTAAAGGCACACGCATGAAGACTTTCCGACTGTCATCGATAAGGTCAAACCGGCTCCGGTATGAGAGCAGTGACAACGACACGTCATCGGCTCATTAGCGGTAGTATTTGTAGTTTGATGGTCTAAGTATCTCGATGTAATTTTTATTATGTTTAAGATGCTTTGCATTTATAATGAACTTTTATAAGAGATCTCGATGCTTTTTTTGTAAAAATAGAAGCTATAGTGTTTATTTTCAGTGCAAGTGACGATCCGTTGAGAAGAAAGCTAATTTTGTCCTTTGAGGACTCTAGACGCAAGGATCTCACATATTTCAAATTCCAATCTCACCTTTCTTTATCTTTTTGACAGATAATATACTCCCTCTGTCCCGAATTATTTATAGCAGAAATGAATAAAAATAGATGTATCTAAAACTAAAATATGTCTAGATACATCCATTTTCGCGACAAGTAATTTCGGACGAAGGAAGTATTTATTATGTCACGTGTATTGAAATGGTATAATTCATGATGATGACGATGACAATCCTGAAATGGCTCCGAGTATATGAATCAACGGATTTATGTGGATGCTTACCGATCGGCAGGGAGAAGAATGAGGCACAATATTTGCGTGGCCTAGCCTGTTGGATATTTTTGTGGCTTCAACATTTACTCAACATGGTTATTATTTATTTAACTCAATCTGAAATTATTCATATTATTAATGTTTGTGACGGGGAATAATTGATGCGGAATTTAACTCGAGGAAGGAATACTCGAGGTGCCGAGGATGTGATGGAATACAATAGAGGAATTAATAGGGATCGACTCTACTGGAATTTATATGTACGTATGTATTTTTCCAGGGACATCACATGGTGGAAAAGCTGGGTTTATTTTGCAGGACCGGCTCTGCAGGCTGTTGACCCACATGATTAATATTGAAAATTGATCTCACATATACAATCTAATCATGGCATGACTCACACATGTGTGCTAGGGACTAGTATATTTAGACTCGGAAAACTGGCATGTTTGATCGTGGTTGATAACATTGCCCAAAAGTCATACGGATCTTTCCGAAAACAAGTGGAATAATGAAAAGCCTGGAAATGAAGTCTATAAATAGGTCCCTACCCTCTAGCCTCAAACGCATTGTGAGCGGCACCACGGAAAAGACAAAGGAATTAGAGGGTAGACCGTGTAGTCCACAATTTCCAACATTGATATCAGAGCCAGATTCGATCACGGTTGCCCGTAACCCTAATCGCCGCCATCCGATCCGTTTCGCTGCCAACTCTGCCTCTCCCGCCGGTGCCTTGGAATACTCTGACGTCCCTCGTGAGATTGAACTGCTCCATCGCCCTGCAACTCTGCGCTATCCACCATCCGCCTGGTACTCTAATTCATTGCCATGTCGATTTGCCTGACGGATGTACGTAAGATCGATGCGTATTATGCTATCTCCTGCGTGCATCAAGCACGGAATTATTGGAGCCTTTTCACGTGGCTATACTTGATCTGGAGGACAAAATAGATTAATTCATGGCTTTTAACACGATCGACGGAACGGAAGAAGACACTCGCTGGCTCGGAGGATTCTGCCACGCACGCGATCGTGGAGTGGACAAACAGCAGGTTCACGTGATGAAATCCAAGTCCTGTCTTGCTTCTTTAATGTGTGTGCGGACCAAGCAAATCACTTCGGCTGCTGTTACTTGTACTATTTGCATGTTGTGCATGAGAAGTTGGGAATTAAACAAGATCGATTTGTTCTGCGCTTCCTCGAGATACCTTGCTACATATCGGTCCATCTAAGCTCCGGCGTGCCGTTGAGGCATCGACAGTCGAATCGGCGTTTCCTCGCTGCATCTCGTCGCTCGTCGAACTCATGCGGGACCCACGCCTTCTGCTGAGCGAGCTAGCTGCTCGGGGAAGATTGAAGCTCCAGGGCTTGCCCACGCCTGCTGCTGCTTGCTGTTGTTCATAACCAAGAAGCCGGTGAGACAAGATGCAGGTGGGCCAGTCAAAATTGATTAGAAGGACACCAGCAGCAAAGATGGTGCAGGAAGGAAGCTTTGTTGCTGTTGTTTATATACAGTACTACTCGTTCTACTGGTCCATCTTGCACAAGGAGCAAGGAATTTATTCTTATATACGCATCTACATGCTGAAGTCCACGTCTACTTTATTTCTCTATAAGGATCAGATTATAACAAGGAAGGCTGGTATTTCTTGATTGTCTTAATACTTGTGCACACCCTGATTTGGGAGAGAAAGCACAAGGAATTAATCGGCTTTGGAAGATGGAATATTATGATGTATTTTCCGTGGAAATTATCCATCACATCATTGATTGAAACAAACTGGACAAGGCCAAATTCAGGAAGCCACTATTGAGGAAAAGGAAATATATTATAGGTGTCAAATGGCTTGCATACTTATGTTAGGTTCATACCATAGTGAACAAATTGCATGGAAAATAGGTGCAATCTGGAATATTGTCTTCATTTTTCGGTTGATGTCTCTTGGAAAATACATATTACTGGCTTATATTGGTTATTTCTAACTCTGCCAAATTGATCAAAATAATTGATTTTCCAATCTAACTTCATTTGATACTGTGCAATATGGGACATTATTTGCTCTATGGAGGAAGATCGAAACTCCCCGTGGGAAGGATTTGACCAAAAATTACTGGTTGCACCTCGAAGAGGAAGATATAATATTTTATCAATTCAATTGGCAAAGAGGAAGTTGTATTGTGCATTCTTGTTATATATCATATACTTCCATGCAAGAAATTCCAAGGAAATGCTAAAGTTAATAAAATTGGAATTGTAAATTATGCCCACAAACTCCGTTGTGGAGGAAAATTATTGTTGATGGATACACTATTATACCAACCTTGCATGGGAAGGAATTCAAAAAGTGTCTATTATGACAATCACTTATTTATGGAGGAAGATGGGAACCACTCCATGAGAAATTAAGGAAATTTGCTCTCACTTAATGATATGCACATTGTGAATATTTACATTAAATATTTATATGTCAATATTTTTTTTAAATAGTTGGAATGTGGATTTAAGCTTCTATGTATTATATTGCTGGAATACAATAGCAATTTTATTAACATCCTAACAGTACCAAAGGAAATTATATATTTTGTGTGTTTTTTCCATTGCTGCTAAATCTTATACACTTTGGAATTGGAAATTTTGCCATGAAACTCCTTGATGGAGGAAAGGTATTATTGTTATACAACACACTATGCAACTTCAGTGTGTAGGGATTTAATTTTTGGTTCTATCTTGGAACCCATTGTTTACGAAATACTATTTGGAAAAGGAAGAGTGGAAATATTGCTCAATGATAAAATTAGTGCATTACGGAATTACACACGATGGTCTATTCTTTCTTGATGGTCCATTGGAAGTTAGAAACCTAAATTGTTGTTTGGGGAAGATGACTCCATAGAGAGGAATGCTGATAATGGGAATTCATGCTTGGGATTTATTATGTTTGTCATGGACGACTTGGTCACATATCATGGAACCGAATCAAGTGGCTTACTGATTCAGGAATTCAAAACTTTAGTGGGAGGAATTTGGTTTTCTGAAGCACATATATAATGGGTATTTGACTTGCACACCTTTTCTTAAGGTGGAATGAGGCAAAAAGCTTCACATCATTTTATATATACATACTTATGGTTTTTTTTTCGACACTCCCACTAGAGGTTAGATTGTTTATCATATCACTCATTGATGATCACACTTTATATGGTTATATGTTTACCTTTCATTAAACAAGTCGGAAAGTTTTATTGTGTTGTTCACATAATGTAATGAC